AAAAAAAAAAAAAGGAGTTAGGGGGAAGGAGTGGCATCAGGAGATAAGGTGAGAAAAGAAGAGACTAGGACACAAAGGGTATTGGAAGAAGCTCATAGGTGACTCCAGTACAATGAGAAGCCAGAAGCCAACACCAGGCATTTGGTAAACGTTGATGTCTTAGAGGTTTTAAGCAGAGCAGTAGTACTTTTCTCCTTTAAAACAATGAATGCTCTTAGAGAACTGAAGGAGGTAGAGGACTCTCATAACCAAATTAATTGCTGAACTGCAACAAGAGATTTTAACATAATCCAAAACTTAAACATCACTAGGAGCAGCTGCAACCTACCACCTGTGCTTAGCCATTGCAGCATGTGATGCCATTTTCTAAGCTGCAGCGACAACTGTATTTGAACTCTCTGGTTTAACATTTTAGCTTAGGAGTTTTCTGTGGTCCAGTTAGCAAACAGAAAAATTCACAACTGTAATTAGAGTGCAAATTTAACATAAAAGGGCCAGTCAGTTGAAAAATAAGAATGTTTTTACTTTCTGCATGGAGAACCTTATCAAGAAATTAACCACATCTCTACACATTTGTTGACAAAAATTAGACTAGCTTTAAAATGCCTATTTGGGTTGAGCTACTTAATAGGCTACAACTAAGAAGGTAAAAAATTAATTGAAACTCCGTATTGAAACTTCATAATTAAGTCTCTATTTTTAAATGATCTCAAATAACTCCTCCACTTCCAAGTTTTACAATCCATTTCTCCTCTCAAAGAACATGGACATTTAAACCACCTTCACTCCCTGGTAGTTCCTCCTCAGTTGCCTTTAAAATTTTCAGAACACTTCATAAGCCATGGCAATTAGATGTGAAAAACTTGCTATTTTCAATCAGCTCATAAACTTTAATTAAAAATAAGCACTTGGCTATAACAGTCTGAAGGAAAGTGCTCTTAGCTAGAGACAAATGTCTTAACAACAGAATTAAATTTACCTGAACCAGTACCTCGAACACATTAGTGTGCCAGACTGCCCGCCATCCAGATGGTTCAAGGACCTTCTCCAAGAACTCAGCTGTGAATTCTCTTACCTCAGAGGCCTTGCAGTCAGCTACAAGCAAATTAAACACAGTAAGACTTGAGACTGCATAAAATAGAGAGAACTTAATAAACCCACTTTCTCAGAACCAACAACTGGCAGTCTGACAAGCTGAGATAGACTTGTACACTAAAAAAATAAGAGCAGCAAAAAAAAAAAAAGAGAGAGAGAGAGAGAAACTACTCACCTAAAATGTAATCTTGATAGGCTCTGAACCGTTCATAGAACAAAAGATGACTTGTTTGGAACATTTCTGGAAAAAGAGTTTTTCCTTCCAGCATAAAACTTTGTAAACTACTCCCTGGCTTACAAATGCTACAATCACTGCATGAATCTTCATCTTGGAACAAACCTAAAACAAACAAAAAAAAATAATAAGCAGGTTGAACAATCCAGACGTTTCCATTGGCTATGGAGTCCTATGTAACTTGCTTAGAAACACCAAATAAAATATAAGCAAGGATTTGGAGATGGTGCTTTACTTAGTTCAATCAGTTTTCCTCTTACAAATATTTCAAAAACCAAGTTCTACTTCAAAATAATAAGAACTTAAAATCTTTCATAGGTTAGTACTTTGTGGTTGGTTGTCTGTGAGGTTGGTTGTCTGTGAGGGAAACAGAGGGAAAAGGTTGCATTTTTTTTAAACTCAGTGGCTGTCTCACAAGCTCTCCCTTAAATGACACAACTATGATTTTCAAAACAGCAACAACTATGATTTTTATAATGGTTAAATCTCTTTGTCCCCCTTTTAGTTTTAACTAAAACAACTCCATAAAGTCTCATTAGAACAAGGAGCTGATGCTCTTGGCCTAGTGGTTCCCTGCTGATTATTGTGGCTCTCGATCGGTTTTCAGCGTGCCGGTGGCGTCCAAGTCAGCAGAACTGGTAGGACAATCTAGTTGACTTGTATTTCTCTCCCTTTTTCCCTCGGTATTCCTTCACCTTTCTCCTTATAAATAAATCCATTATTTAACCTTTATAAAAAAAAAAAAAGAATAAGGAGCTGATTTCCTATACTCCCTCTCAATGAGTTGAAGGCTTCCTTATTCCTACATTAGCAGTCTATCAAAGGCGCTCATCCCAACAGGCACGAGAGGTTCTTAATAATGCATAAGGTTTACTTCATTAAAGCTACTAGGTTCCCCTTCACTAAGTTCAATGACTGTGTCTAAGGAAAAAATTAGAAAATGCTAATCACATTAGATTTGGGCTGTATGTAATTATGTTTCATTGGCCAGTGGCACATCTAATTCTGTGTAATATGATGTTTCTAAGAGACAAAACAACTACTAAATAAACAATGCTGAGAGTAACATTTAGATTAGCAAACTGGTTTGCAAGGTGGCTTCCAGAAGGGTATCTGAGATGCAGCCCCAGCAATCTTTCTCCTCTCCCCTCCCCAGCCCTATTTATTTTGTGCTTCTTTAGACTTCTTTGCAAAATTACTTGATTCCAGAGATGATTAAAGTGCACTCAAGGGTCCACTGCTCACAAATACCTATACACACAGCCTCGCAGGATATCAAGATTTCGCCAGCAGTGTGACAAACTCTCTGTGCATTAGTTTCCTGCCTACAAAGATGAAAATAGTACGACTATCTCGATTCAGAGAAATAAATTAGTTGTTAATCACAACAGTACCCATCACACACTATAGATAAATGTTAAAGAAGTTACCTTCATCTCATACCTATTAGGATGGCTGCTAGCACCGCTGCTCCCCCTACCCACAGCCCCCACTACACCCCCCCCCCCCAAAAAAAGTAAAGGGAACAAGTGTTAGCCAGGATGTGGCAGAAACAGTAACCCCGGGCACTGGGGCTGGGCACACAAAATGATACAGCTGCTGTGGGAAACAGTATGGAGGGTTCATGAATATTTTCCAGCCTTGAAAAGGAAGGTACTTCTGCAATATGCCACAATGTGGGTGAACCTTGATGGCAGTTGAATGAAATAAACCAGTCTCAGAAAGACAAGTAGCAGGCCGTGAGTACAGCAGTCAAAGCCAGTTAGTCAGAGACTAGAATGGCCAAGTACCAGGAGCTGC